TGGCTTCATAGCTCAGTTGGTAGAGCATCGCACTGGTATCGCGGAGGTCACGGGTTCGAATCCCGTTGAAGCCCTGATTTTTTTTTTCAGGCTTCTTCCAGTTGCTTAAATTGGAAAATTTACTGCGATGATCATACTTCACTTTCATATTTAATACTGATAACACAATGTATGTGGTAGACTACTCAGGAAGAATATTATATGTATTCTCTACATGCATTACATGCCTCTGCTCCTAGATGTCTCTTAGAGTGACAAAAAATCACAAGATGGTAGATGTCTAAGATGCCATTCTAATATCAACATGCAATTTATGCATTAAATAATTCAGATCACTAAAAGGCATCTGCGGTCAAGAGCTGATTGATACCCTTGATCAACCTTTGATCAAAACTCGATCTACATCTTGATCAACACTTGATAGAAATCTTGATCGCTACTTGGTTGACACTAGATCAGCATCTCAATCAACACCTGACTGACATTTGATTGACAGTCAGTCAATAGTCGGCTGAAAGTTGACCAATTCATATGTATTGATCGACGCTCAATGGTGTGCCTGGGAAAATTAGTTGACTCTCGATTGACTGTTGACAAAGATGTTGATTGAGTGTCCATCGAGTGTCAACGTGAGTGTCCATTGAGTATTAATTGAGTATTGATAGAGTGTCAATTGAGGTTATTGATCCACTCTCGGCCGTAGAGGCCTTTAGTACACATTGTCCAATAATCCTCTCTCCTACCTGGAGGGTACATCCTCAGCGCCTCTGATATCACCATGTCGAGGTATGGTAGCTCATGGACTGTCTCGTACGACAGCATTTGGTTTTCATCTGGCCAAGCATTGTCAATCTCTTGCTGTAGCTTGTCCTGAATCTCAGGACTTGTTGCCAAATGGTGACAAACAAAACTCAACGTGGTACTGGAGGTTTCATATCCTGCAGCAAGGAAGACAAAGCTTTGTGCTAAAACTTCTGTGTCAGAGAGCTTCTTAGACTCTGGAACTGAAGGGTCGTCTGAAGCAGCCAGCATAAGATCCAACATGTCCTATCAGGTAATAAACAGTCAGTGGAAACCTTCACAAGTTGATAAAAAACAAATTACAATATTCAGAGAGGAAGCCACCTGAGCCTTAGCTGGTTTTCATGGAGGTCCTCTATCCTGGTCGAATTGGAATTTGGAGTGTTGGTTTTTGTGGAGGGAGGAAAACCATACAACACGGAGAAAAACCCTTGGAGCAAGGCGAGAACCAACAACAAGCTCAACCCACTTATGGCACCGACACAGAATTGCACCCTGGCCACATTGGTGGGAGGTGTGTTCTCTCACCATTGTACCCTCCCTGCTCCCCGCTCCCTGATAGATGTAAGCCTACCACAAATCTGAACATGATTGTGTACATAATGCCATGAAAGAGAAAATAGCTCTTTATATTCGGGCTTTCAAACAGTCACCTAAAGGTTTTTGGAACTTCTCAGTGCTCAAAGCCTGGTTCACACTTGTGAAACAAGTACAAGCACATGGATGTTCCCACTAGGGACATGCACATGAGCATGTGCTTATTTCATGCCAGTTCCCACTTGTAAAATAAGCACAAGCATAAACACAAGAACAAGAAATATGTTTCTTTTTCTTGTGCTTATGATCGAAAATATTTATTCCACCTCAGTGTCCACTAGCATTTTCTATATTATGCTTGCACTTACCTGTGTGCTTATCTCATAAGTGTGAAGCAGGCTTTATAGAGCCAACTCGGCTTGCTTAAAAACAATCAACCACACCCCCTGATTTTCTTGGAAAGATAGTCAACTTGGCTGTACCACAGTGACCTTTCATACTAAATGTATGATATCAAATCAATATTAATTTATCATAATAATTATAATATTTATTACTATTTTACCTTTTTAATTGAGTTCCCAGTGTTTTCTCTCTTTGTGCGAACTATTTCCTCTGCAATGTCGAGGAGTGGTTTTAGATTATTCATATACAGTTGTGGCACTTTTTCTATAATTTTCAATCCCAAAGGCATCAAAGTAAGAACCCCAAATAAAATTTTCTGAAAGGTAGTCTGGTTCATGGCAAGCTGAGCTGCTTTGAGGACTGGATCATCAGGATTATTTTGTGAGTCCACTTCAAAGCCAAATGCCGCAGAAACAATGACATCCATGGTAAGACTTTGTTGAAATCTGTGAGAATTGTACATAAAACAGAAACATCTGACATTACAATACAGTTGAATGGGATCATTTTCACAAAGCTAACAAATAAAACAATGCAGTCGCAAAAAATGATTCATAATATCATTTGAACATAAAACTGAATGACAAGGGTCTTTGTCAAAAACAAAGAAAGGAAATCAAATATTAATTGAATGTTGCAGTTGTAAACATGGATAAACAGATCTAGAAGAGTAGATTATTCTATCTATCACAGAAAGAATTTCCTTGAATGTGCGTTTGAATGAAAATAGGTCACAATTTACACTGCCATCTAGCACCTTCTGTACTATTCCCCCGGGATGGTACACTAGTTCATTACAGGTTATTCCTTAGCATTCTCTCAGGTTGCCCCAACAATTTACTGGAATAAATTTATACTCTTGAGTGAGGAGATAAGCACGTCCCCATGTCTTGCAAAAGAGCACAACAAAGTCACTCTGGTCAGGGCTCAAACCCGAACCCTTCAATCCAAAGAGTCCAGACACACCATTAAACCACTGACCTTCCCATGTGTCATGGAATCTGTTGACAATTTGTTTTGCTAATTCAAGAAGAGTTCCTTCATGAAACACTGATGATTTCTCCAAATCCACTGATTTGAATTTCTTGAGGTTGACATCTCTATAAGCATTATCTTGCATAAGAATCACTGGAGAGCACAACATATTTTAAGGCTTGCCTGATCTGGATTCCAAAGCATTTAACCACAGAGCCATATGTTGCATTTGGAGACTATAAGCAAGTGGTAATTAGAGAGATGCTACACTTACGTTTTGATGTTAACACTTTCTTCCTTGTCAGCTACTTCTGCAAGTTTCTTGATCAAATTGTCGCTGCATGCATTCATCAAAGGCACCATCTGTTTCATTTTCAGAGCGCTGAAAGCTGGTGTCAGGGTGTTACGAATACGTTTCCAATTCTCCTGCTTGGCTTCAGTCAACATGCTGTTCAGAGGTTCAGGTTGTTTCACAAATTGCTATATTATAAGTAATTGAAACTTCATTGAGTAAATGAAACTTGTTAAATTCAATGAGGAAAATAGAAATAATAGTATGTTTTGAATTGTTGCTGAAATAACATCTGTGTAGTTAGTAAAGATCCTTATAATCCATGAAATATTTTCCCATGCATGTGATGGGTCTATTCTCTAAATGCATCACATCACTGTACATGCCCCAACTAAAATATTCCCAAATTTTCAAAATGACGTGTGATGCAAAAAATATTTGGTGTGAAAATATGCTCAAAAATTTGTCCTTGGAGATTATCTGTTCCTCCAAGCTTACAATTTTCCTCAAGCTATGCTGTCAGATAATTGTTCCCTTCTTGAGACAGATAATGACTGCGGATAAATATCTGAGCACATTTTTGCGCCAATGGAGGCCATTGTTTACATAGCCTTGGTTATCAAACAATGGTCATTATATGTTTCCCAGTTTGATGCACACATCCCACTGGGGAGGACTTCCCTATAAAAATTACATGGGGTACCTGAACGGAACCAGAATTTTTTGATGGGGATTTGGTTCAAATTTTCTTTCACCCCTTAGACTACTTAGGTGGGACACAGGGCTTCAACGATTCTTCACTACTCTTTTGAGTGGACAGCAACTTGCGGACCTCCCCCTGACTCTGCCATCCAAGCTCCTCGTTCCATTCCTTTTTTGCCATTCTATGGTTTGATGAGCTCCCCTGTCAATTTTTTCACGAGGCAGTACTGGGGCACATGAATCTCTGCTGTGAAAATTGGTATGAAAAAAATGACATCCATTTTTTTATGTTACATAAATTTTAGCCAGCTGCGAAGAGATCATTTATTATGGCTCAAATCCCTCAGTTGTTCCTTCTCTTGAATATCTGAAACCAATCGTGAGCAGTGCAGAATGGAAAGTGACACCCATTTATGGTGTGCTATGAACATTGCACACTGCCTGTGCAATATTTGAACCTATGAGAACAGACTGTCAAAAAGTCTATTTTGGGTGGTGAGATCAGACCGTCAAGTGTCTATTTTTGGTGGTGAATCGACAAGCCACGTGCAAACAAAATCTCAAGATTTGACAAAGCGACATGACTATCGGTCAAATGCCCTCCTAGTACCAAACAGAACTAATGCTCTTCTTTGATTGTAATTTATCTCAATCGATCTCATCAACTTTCAGATGTCAGCTACTCGACAGTACACCACACCCTACAATGTACATGCTCCCCAACATCTATCAAGACGGTCATATTGATAACAATTTACGGGAAGAGAGACGCTTGATAACTGTAGTAAATTATAACGGGAATCGGTGCAAAGTCTTCAAATAAAGTACGAGGCTACACGGAAATACTAATTGATCTTACTTACAGGACGATCGTAGAAAGAAGCTGATTCTTTAACCAGTATATCCTTTATCATCTCCGGATCACCGATGACTATGCAAGGTATACTGCCAAAGATCAACATGGAATAAACCTGGCCGTATTTTCTGTAATATTCATCCATTTGCAGATGAATTTGGCCCTTGTGCTTCATGACATCCACTAGATGTCCGATAAATGGAAGAGGTGTAGGCCCCTTGTGATAAACAGCTCGCAGCGTCTGGTACGGAGCGATCCCGCGAAAGTAAACAGCAAGTAAAATGACCGAGGCAATCAAAATCGTCTGCCAGTACTCAAGGAGCGGCTCTACAGAGTCAAGAAGCGCCATCCTGTGTCACTAAACTACGCTTTCTTGCGCGTGCAAAGCCGAGCTGCAAAGCTATATAGGCCAAAACTGCAAAGGTCTGCAACAGTACGAGATGTCAAGTCAGCTTTTTAGGAGTTATTGCGCGGCGCGGTTACATTTTATGCAATAGTGCACTTTTCCTGTGTTTACAAAGGCCTCTAAACACGAGGGGGACCTGGAGAAGTTTGGAGAATCTGAGAGAGTTGTGCAAACCCGAGACGAGACGCAGTCGCGCCCTAGTCGAGGGTTTGCCTTGCTTTCGAGAATAATCCCAACCGCTCATGTGTTTAGATGAGGTCGTGCAAACACGGGAAATGTGCTCTGATATCGATAAACTTTGATTTCCCCAGAAAGATCCGCACCCAAAAAATTAACTTCCTATCACGCTCAAGATTTTTGTACCAGCCCTTCCCCGTCAGAAGGGGAGATTACACGGAATCGAGGCATTCGGCGGGAATCCTCACGCCAAACAACTGTGTGAATATTCACAGATGCCGGCTTCGTGGAGGTTATGTCCGAGAAATCAAGACCTTTTTGAAATTGTCGCGTTCCTTAAGCCATGGGGAAAACTTTAGAAGAGTGCTACGAGATCCTTGGCTTGGAATATGGCGCGAAAGAAGGTATTTAGTAAAGAATTGCGTGGTTTACCGGCCGTCTTAGCTTCCGTGAAGGATTTCGCATTCGCACTCTCTTTTCGTTCGCAAGCTTATCAATCAAACTCATCTCAAATTTTATTTTCTGAGTGAATTACTTCAGTTTTTACAGTAATAGTTAAATATTATCAATCAAGAACCAGTTATTCGTGACCTCGTAGTAGAAAATAGTTGCAAGAGCCTCGAGACAAAACTGTGTAGATGTAATGTGCTTGAGGAAACATGTCAAAACTGCGTTGTACTAAACTATCTCTTGTTTTCCAGTTGTCAAAACCTCCCAGATCAAAAAACAATAACTCTTCAAAAGTTATGGGAAACTATTTTTTGTTGCTGATATAAGCTTAATGTTCTTAAAAAAAACTTTATAGATTCATTCAATCGGTATTTAAACCAANACAAGTTGCTGCAAGCTGGTCTCGTTTTTCAATTTCTTATGACTGGATGAGCAGCTGGTTCAATGGGAAACATTAGATGATTGTCATGTGCTGTTTAATATGTTTTTTTTTCTACCTGCAAGCACAGTGTGCCTGTGTTTTGATATATTTATTTCGTCTTTGTTTCGTTTTACTGGGTTACCCTGTATAAATATTTTCAATCATTATTTAGGTGTATGTTATAAATATTATTATTGTGCATGTAGATAGACTATTAGATATTAACCTTTTTTGTAAACAGGATGGGTATATAAGCTGACAGCTTGTGGGGTAGTGTAAAGAAACAATTATATGTGACGATCTGGCCGTCTGTAGAATTTTAAGTTGCTCCTTGATGTTTCTGATGGATCTATTTCTTTCAGGCGAAGAAGATAGTGATGACAATAATTATGATGATGATGACATGGATATATGGAGAGATGTATGTTAAAAATAGAAACAGCCCTTGTTAATGTTTATATAGAGCACAAAAACTTGCTAAAATCCTTATTAATTAATTAATTAATTAAGCATTCTGTAATATTCCACTACAATGTACAGTAATTGAATCATGTGTACTAAAGACATTCGCTGTTGAGTATCAGTCGATATCCTTGATTGTTACCCTTGATCAATACCCTCTATCAATACTCGATTGATGCTTAGTCGACACCTCAATTGACACTCAATCAACACTCAATCAACATCTTGGTTGACAGTCAGTCAAGAGTTGACTAATTTTCGCAGACATACCATTGAGTGTTGTTCGATACATATGAGTTGGTTGACATTTGGCTGACTATCGTCTGGTTGTCGATCGAATGTCCATCAAGTGCCAATCGAGATGTCGATCAAGTGTTGATCAAGGGTTGATCAAGGGTATCAATTGATACTTGACAGCAGATGCCTTTAGTACACATGGTCCAAGTATTCTATAGAGTACAAAGTGAGGAAGATTTTGTAATCTTGAACCTAACCCATGTAAGTGTAGGTGAAACATTTTGATTGTAAATGTGTTTAATCAACATAGGCTACATATGCATGAATATTCATACTGTTATCATTTTTATCTTACAGTCTAAGGTTAAGAGAGTGCAGTATTAATTTCCACCCTAATTTTTTTTTTTATTTCAGTTTTTCTTCTTTTTGTTTAGAGATGAGATCTTGGCAAGAGGTAAAATTTCTCAATACAGTGTTCATACAGTAATTTATTGAGTATAACAGTCTTGTAGTCTGGTTAAAAGACTACATTGAGCTTTTGCAACAAAATCAGGAAAAGTTTAAAACATTGTTGGGTGGGTCTGTAATGCAATTTTTCATTCATTTTCCTACAGTTTTCATTCTTCTAAGATTTGATAGATCTGATGATATAACATGTTTATAGGCCAGTAGTTATAGTAAGGGGCATGTTGGCAACCTTAGAAGTTTAGAAAATGGACAGTTTTTCATGTATTGCATAATTTGCAAAATTGATAAAGATGCATCCAGACAAATGCACATACCATTTCTTTCATCAGTAAGTTTATTTTGTTTCTTTTCTCTGTTTCAGTCCATTGCAGGTGCAGCAGATGTGGAAGGTACACTATGTTATGGCATAGACTATTTTTTATTTCTTGTAAAATAATATTAATAAATAGATTACATGTATTATTATTAATTCATGAATGCTGAATTAAAAAAAAATAACATAGTTACAAAGTTATATTATTAATATAAATGCCAGTTTATTTGTCTTGTTCCGCATAGGCTATTGATCTCTTTTAAAATATCAGTTTTCAAGGAGTTAGAAAAATAGCTAATTAAAGTGGATATCCCCCAAGTTGTCTATTTTGGTGAAAACCCTTTAGAGAGACCTGTTAACAGTTACTAACATTACACTAGTAATATTAAACAATTAGATTATGAGCTCGAGATTTCTATCGCGTGATTGTTGACTAGGGCACAGCCTGAGTCAACTATCATGCATAGAAATCGAGAGCGAATAATCTAATTGTTTTAATATAAATCTATTAGTCGTTCAAAACTTTGTCGAAATCCTCTTTACAGACACTTTGAAAACGCCAAGAAGCAGCTGTTATCTTGTTAGCAAGGGCGCACTGCTACGCTACTCACTATCTATCACAGAATAGAGAGTGAGTAGCGTAGCCAATCAGAGAACGGCATTTGTGATTGAACGCTAGTAGATTTATACTAAATAAAGATAGTCTAGTTTAATATTTATGACCAATTGCACACACATTTTCACTTTGTCATTTTTGTCTATGGGATGCACCTTTACCACAGCTAAGTGTGTTGTCCAATTAAAATAAACTGTCCATGTCTATGTCTATGTGTAACATTGACCACAAACCAAATGTTGTGGTCTGAAGTTACTCCTTGGGACACTGCTGGATGGAAAACTTCATGTTGTTTTACAATTACTAATCAAATTATTTCTGAATCAGTCTTTTGTAAGACGCTCATTAAGATTACTTTATCATTGTGGCTTTCTGTGTAGAGCGGGGGAACAGGAGGATGATGATTTTCTGGCCTCCCTGGCAAAGGTATACTGTGTAAAATTAAACTCTTGATGTTTTGTTTTAAGACGTCTTTTAATTAGTAAATTGTGCATTGTGCAGTTCCAGAAAATATCCAATTTTACTCCCCCCAACAGAAGGGATTGGAATTTCCTGGGGGGTGTGGGGTTCTGGAAGACCAAAAATTTAAAGAAATGTATGAAGCTTAACTGGAATTTCCAGAGGGGTGGGGAGGTGTTAGAAAAAATCCCTTCCATGGGGGAGGTATGGACATTTTCTGGAACTACACATTGCAAAATTAATGATTATAAAGTAGTTTAAAATAGCCCTGTTGGAATAGTGTATTTAGCAACAAACTAGTAACAATGAAAGTTAGGCAAGTAAATCTTACACTTGCTGCAAGTGACACTATGTTATCAATGGTGAATATTATCAATAATCTTCTGGAATAAACAATAATATTTGTTGTATTAAATTGCAGGAGCAAGAAGAACAGTACAAATTTACAGAAGAAGAGGTGTGTATTCTGATCAGACTTAACCAGGCTTGGTCTCAAGTTCATAAGTTCTTTTGATTGCATACATTTCTTGTAGATATGGTGCATTAAAACCTCCTTCTCACTTTGTTCTTTAAATTTTCAAAAATATTAGCTAGTTAGATAAAGCATTCACTGTAGATCTCAGGAGTTTTGTCATACATCATGAAGAAACTTTGAGAGAACTGACAATAATATTTACAGCTATATTTATTTAGTGACACAAAATAATCTACTTTAGCCAAAGTTTTTTAATTTACATTCTGACAGAAATAAGTCCTTTCTTAAGGTTATTGTAAGCTCAATTCATAAATGTTAGTCTTGCTATTTTCTTGACATTTTTGTCAATACTTGTTCATAGTTTGTTATTTATCTTTACCTAGATGGCACAGTTCACATGCTTTGCAAATCTCAAGGAACAGAGAGAAGCAAATAAAAAGAAATTTTGCGATGTAAGCTTGTCAACCTTGAGAACAGTAAATTTTAGAGAAACTAGAACTTTCTCTCTCAATAGTGAATTATATATTTAGTTATAAAGGCTGCATGGAGTAAAGAAATTTCATGACTAAAAGTAGGCTGATTGATTACACCACTGTGTTTATAGCAGTTATGCAACACTTTCTTGTGGTCTACCATGGAATATTGCTCAAGTCACTTGTTTCTTCACGGTATACCGATAAAATACAAGTGAAAAGTGGAATATTCCATGGTGTACCACTTGAATCTGTTGCATAACTATTTTATACCACACCATAGAAAATACAGTAGCCAACACAATCAATGCGAAATATGCGTAGCGAACAGTGGGAAGGTTGGATGTACATAATGCTGTCGATTATACAAAGGCTTCCATGTATTCTGATTGGGTGTATTTTCTATGGCATGGTTTAACAGTTTGATTATAAATTCTAAAGACTGCTGAACTTATCTACTATGCAACTTAAGGTGGCCGAACACAGTTTTCGTATGTGCTTTTGTTGATGCAATTCAGCGCACTCACAAGGATTGCAAAAAACAAACATGCCGTCAATAGAGCGATCATTTTATTTACTCAACACCCGCACTATCTGTGCTATTTTTCTCTATAATTGAACGCTGCATATTGATGGCTTTAGTCTTTTACTGCAAGGATATGTTAGAAAAGGTAACGATGCAAAGAACCCAGCAATTCACAGCTTTTTCCTTGTTACCAAAAGAACCCAGTTAAATGCAGCGCATGCGCAGTTGCTTGAAAAATTGAGACCGATTGCTTTTGCAGAAACTTCCTGATATCTAACGATCCAGTTGTTATATTTTCAAGAAATTTGGCAAAAAAATAGTTCAGAAACCATTTGAATGAGCCATGACAAAAAATCTGAATTTTGACAAAGGGAATTTTTAATAATACGGAACGTGCAGTGAAAACGATTTACGGCGAATTACGAAATCGCCTATGTCAAAATTTTATTAGAACAGTGTTGACAGAAGGGATTTAATGGCAATTTGTAGTGGGCAAATGATGAAAAAAATCTAATGACTGGATTTTTTTAAATAAACAAAAACCATTTTTAAGCCTTGTTTTGAACCAGCCCCATTGCTATGGCAGCAGCACACATTTGGTTAACCTTGACTCTTGCAAAAAAACAGGTGCCAAAGCGAAAATAGTTTAAAAGTAATGGTGAACTAGGCATAGGCACTTGAAAACTGTGTTCGGCCACGTTAAAGACAGGAAGCAGCAAAATAACTGTTATATTACATTTAGATAATGTCAACCATGGTGGCATATTTGATTTTACGTCATAACCATGTGCAGATGTTTATCCTATTCTGAGAGGTAAAAATCTCAAAAACAGAAAAGCTAAAAAAAGTTTAGGCTTTGTGGAATATATTTGCTGTGCAAATTTTACGCCAAATGGAGTTTTTTGTTTATTTGCTGACAATGAAAATTAAATTTTCTTTGAAAAGGAGAGAAACCAGTCAAACATCAAAACTGAACAAAAAGCCACTAAAGGACATAAGGTAAGAAAAAGGAGAATTTAACATGGTCTCCAAAATTATCAAAAATAATCTCACCAAATATATTTGCAGACTGTTTTGTATTTCTGTAGGTTAGGTGTCATTAACTATTAAACAAAGAAGTCTGATGCATGTGTCAATGTGCAAAATAATGTTTCTTCCACTTGTATTGTGTATTTTATTCTTATAGCAGTTTGGGGAGAATTTGTTATTTAATCAGTAGCTGGATTTTCCTGTGGTGGTCAGTTTTATTATTTGTATAAGGTGCAGACTTCAGGAAGAAATTGGATTTTGGTCACTAACAAAAGTGTTTAAGTGCTTACCATGAGGGGGAGGAGTTTTGTTAGAGGTGCAGTGGAAGTTAGATATACAATGTTCTTGACTTTTCTTTGCTGAATTTTTTTCTTGCCCGTTTAGACTCTCCCCCTCGCACCCCCCCTCCCCCCCAACTAAGTGTTCCTGGGTCTCCAAGGATGGAGATTAAAAGCCATACTGATCTTGGCGATTAAAAGCCATACTGTTTATACCTGTGAATGGGTATCTCAGGAAGTTACTGAGGAATGCAGAGCCTAATTAGATACTGGGTTGTAGCCTGAAATAAACAACATTTCATCCAGTAGGGGCAGGAATACTCTCTTCATGTTATGAACTGAGAGGCTAGTAAGCAGGGAATGTGCCTCACCTCAGTATGGTTCAGGTGGTTAGTGTGCGTTGAAGTGTTTCATCATGAGAAGCAAAGCTACTACTGGTTGTAAATAAGTGTAAAGGCACAAGAAAGACCTAATTATCGGTGAGGAACGATCTATTGGAAATGCCACTGGTTACTAACTGCTTTTTATTCTTTCCTTTTAGCCAAAGTTAAAGAGTAATAAGCAGCTGAAAGTGGAGCAGTGGAAACGAGAAAAGGTGGGTTCTAAATGAAATGCAACTCCTGCTTTAATTTTTCCTTTTCACTGCATCACCTCTCATTTGTCAAATGCATTTATTTAATGGATCAAATGTAAATGCACTGATCTATAAAATAAATAGAATCATCTAATGGTCAGTTTATTTTAATTGCTTACAGGAAATATCTGAAATGGCAGCTCAAATTAGCCAAACAAATCCAAAGTTACAAGAGAAAAAGGTAACAATCTGCAGTAACATGTGCCATCTCTTTGAAAAAAAAGATAAAAACACCACCAAGAAGAAAATAGATTGCATTTTTTTGTAAGATACACTAACCCAGGCACTGACTAGGCCAGGAAAAAATCCCTGATAGACAGGCAAGTTCTCGGAACTTGCATAGAAAGGAAACATACAATGATTAATAAGAGAGTAACAATTAGTACATATATCTTGGGCTTCTAACTGAATAGAAAGGGTTCCTAGATCTGTAATGATCTTTTTTTCTCTTCTTTTTTAATTTCTCAGGCTTCTACAAAAGATGCTAAAACAAAAGAACTTCATCAGCAGAAAAGGTACTGTGCAGTAATATATTTATTGGCCATGGATTCCATGTGATTATTAATGCTTGTCTTTCATCTCAGTTGTAGTCAGCATGGAGTTGCCGATAGAAAGAAAGATGTTAGAGAACCCACAGAAAGCAGTGCTAACAAGAGGAACGCAAGGAAAAAGAAGAACAGAAATGTATGTGTTGTCATCGGTTTCTGAACCAGTACAAAATGCTTTAGATCAATGCTTAATCTCGGAACTGATGCACTGCATTTATGGTGTTAGTTTCAGGGATTATATTAGATTTCTATATACACTTAATTAGTTAGGTATAATTACCCAAATGATAAAGTTAAGGCCTGGCTCACATTAGTGATATAACAACATAACAAAATAATGACACAATGACATAATCGCTTAATGTTGGTAATCTTAACATCAACATAAAGACATAAGTAAAAGATCAGTTGTTTTCTTATGCTGTTATTTTGCTGTTATGTCAAAACGTCAGGATGTCCACAATGCAAACATAACAACATAACGTCTTCTTTAGGTCGTTATTTTTATGTTGTCATGTCGCTGGTGTGAACTAGGCGGAACCCAGAAAACCCTCTGTATTATTGTTTTTTCACAAAGTGATTTTGTTTTGCCAGCAATGGAGTTGTAGAGACTATAATTTATCTTTCTCTTTTAAATTAATTCTGGCAAATTGTTGCTTTTTTTTTCAGAAATCAAAACAGCATGGTGACAAGGAAACAGAATCCAGCCAAAATAATAGTTTTGCAAAAACTACTCTTGCTGAGCAGAAAGTAGCATCAAGCTTTGTTGTGCAGGATGCTGTAAGAAATGTTACCATCAAACCAGAAACCACAAAGAGACAGGATGACGTAACAGGAAGATTACCACATTACACCAGGTACACCAGTCCAAGGATGATGAAGGCTCAGGCTCGTGTGCAGGATTCAACTATGAGCAGGCACAAGAATGAGCCACCAAAGGTATACAACTTATATAAATGAGGTTGTTACAAATGAGATGATAGTCAGGCAGACAGTCAATCTGTCCGCCCATCTCTCTATCCGTCCATCATAACCAGTCGGTTGGTTAGCCAGTCCTCCAGCAAGTCAGTCTGTCAGTGAGTCATTTGGCAGATCAGTCAGTCAGACAGACGGTCAGAGGGTCAAACAGTCAGTCCGTTAGTCAGTCAGTCAGTCAGTCAGTCATTTAGCGTTACTTACTGAGATAGAAAGCTCAGTCAGTCATTCACACAGTCGATCAGTTATTTAAACAGTCTGTGTCAGTCAGTCAATCAGTCAGTCAGTCAGTCAGTCAGTCAGTCAGTCAGTCAGTCAGTCAGTCAGTCAGTCAGTCAGTCAGTTAAAAATAAACAAGGCATTCAAAGTCTACTTCATCATCCAACTTGATGGCAGAGAGCTCCTAATTTGGAATCACTGGCAACCTTTCCAAACAGAAAATTGTGCATATGCGTAGATGGCTGTGAGGGATGAGAGATCAGACTAAATATAACTTTACTTCTACATCATGCTCTGCATCGTTTTTACAATATGTCAATTTCCTTGTTTAGCAAACTGTGAGAGGATGGTTTGATAACCAGAAACCCGGAACTTCATCGAGACCCAGTTATGGTGCAAACGTCTGGCAGAAGAGGCAGGAAAAACAGCAGTTCTTAGCAGAACTACAGCCTAGTAATCAAACTGATGAAGAACTGCAGCTGCAATTGGCATTGGAACTCAGCAAGAAGCAAGCGGAAATTGACGCGCAACAGAGGTGGGCATCACGATACCGTAAACTTCCGAATGTAACGGCCCTCGTTACTTTCAGAATTAGCAGCCTTTGAGGCTCGTTACTTTCAGGGGGGTCGTTACGATCGCGGGCTCGTTTCTTTTGGGGGGTCGTTACTTTCGAGGGGCTCGTTGCTTTCAAGGGGTCGTTACTGTCGGGGGATCGGTACTTTCGGAGAGCAAAAAATGTTATATTAAGTTGGTAGGAGTGAACTCTTTTTACGAATTAAAAGACGGAAATTAGGTTTGCTACTTTCGGGATTTATTAGAAGCCGTTATTTTGTTACTTTACTTTTGGAAGTTTACGGTAGTGACAAAACCATAGGGATATAATGTAACAATTAAGCTTCATTTGCTATTTATGGCTACCACGACGACAGCGAATGCAATGTACATCTCAACCCAGTCCCTTAGTGTTGATAACGTCGTATTCGTCCCTTACGTAAAATCAAAGTTGTTGATAGTGCTGAATATCCATTGGTCAGTTTGGAGTTGTTTGTGTTCTTTTTTTTTTTCAAAAGAAGGCCTGTGTGATTTCTAACAGCCAAATGAGACAAAACGAAACGGAGTGTTTCTGTTTTGTTTTTTGTTGTTGTTGTTGTTGTTGGAGAGTACACACCATGACACGTAAGAGTGACACGTTAGAATGACAGTAATAATTAGTTGCGAGGAATGAGAAGTAGTCACTTAACTGGAAGGCGAAAAATTTAACTGCAGTTGCAACGTTAAGATGACCTTAAAACTTGGCAAGAATTGTCTTGTAGCATGCAATTTGCACACGTTTACACGTACATATAGGGAAAACCATAAAATGAAATTAAACTTTGTGACGGCAAGTATCATTTCAAATTGTCTCTTGAGTTTTTGCTTGTCATTGTTCCTTGACAGAGAGATTAACAAGTTGGAAAGACAAATGGAGAAAACACTTCAGGTAGAGAAGCAATTTCAGCAGATCACTAGCGTGGAAGAGACTCAGAACACAGCAGCAGATGCTGTGACGGATCCTGGAAGGTTTGCAACTGCGGGGATCCGTCACGGATGCGGGCCGGGAGTAAATGAGGTCAAAGAATGGTGTGCGGTATCTGACAGTGAAGACGAGTGGCAGGAGGGCGAGCAAGTGTCAAACTTCTCTGATGAAGATGCCTCTGATGACGAGGAAAATGGTTTTAATATTGATGTGGCTTCAGAGCCCCTACCCAAGACTGAGTATCAAGACCTTGACGAAAAGCATGTAGCTGAAGGATTTGGAAGGAGCGGAAAAGTCAGCTTGACTGTTCCTAAGTCAAACGAGCTATTGCCGCAGCTCTCAAGAGGCCTGGATTCACAGAATTGTTGTCCTTATGGGAAGAATTGTTGTTTGGGAAAGCGCTGCTTGTATTCACATCCACCATCCATCAACAACAACAGGAAGATCCAAACATTTGTTGACAACACTTCGAGTTCAAACGAAAAGTGTGACAGTTCTAGTGGTGAGAGAGCTGATCTTACAGATAGCCCTACAGAAAATCACTACTCGCCTGTTAATTCTTTTCAAGAGGTCCCTGACTCTTCTGACCTCAGTTTTCCTGTGGACAATACTGAACAATCCAACGCTCTTATCTTTAACCATGAGGACACATTGACGACAAACGAGTCCCTGTATCAACTACAACCAGGATTGTCTGTGGGCCACGTACCAGAGTCTGAAGACACTTCTACAAAGGAGCAATCTGTTTATGCCAGAGATAGCGTCCCATTTGGCTACATGGGCGGTGCAGACTCCACAAAGCTCGGTGAAGATTATAATCAGTGCAGTCTAGCCTCGGGTAAACTTGAGGATCTCACCCAGTCTTCATGGGACAACAAAACTGACCTGGAGTCACCTACAGAAGACAGGCCCCTATCAAGTCAAGAGGAATTCGAAAGTTCCGACACCAGTGATGTTCAAATTCATTCATGTGGTCATTTGGACGATACAAATGTTGATCTAGGGGAAGGTCAAAATGTTGGATCAACTGCCGTGCGTGAGAATCCTGTAGAACAAGGATCATCGACTGTAAACAGTGATGTGAAAGGTCCAACTGTCTACGTGATAGCAGATCAGTCTCAGTTTCCTTTAGGATTTCCAGCTGCTAGCGTTCTCAAGCAGTCAGTAGCTTCCTTACCGCCCCTTGTTAATCTCTCAGCTGGTGCAAAACTGCAAAATGTTCCACAGCATTCTCAGCATTCTTCAAGTTTGCCGGTCAATTATGCAGGTCAGATGCCAACAGGGTTGCCAGTTAATTTGGCAGCACAAACTTTGACAGCAATTCCTCAGAGTTCCAGACCTGATGTTACCATTCCTCAAACGTACTCGTCAGCTTCACAAAATTCTGCGAGTTCATCTAGTGGAACTTCAGCAACTCCCGCAGCCACTCAACAGCCAATCACAGCGGTGTCAAGTGCGTCGTCACAAGCGGGAGTTATGAATGGCTTCCCAGCCGTACCAGGTTACCCTTTCCTACCATTTGGAAATGTTTTTCCGTTCCTCAACCCGGCAAATGCCGCAGCTAATGCAAGCCTGATGGCTGCTGCTGCTGCTGCTGGTGGCGGAATACCCTTTCCAATAATGCCTGGAACCTCTAACAGTATGCTGAACCAACAAGGAGGAAAGTTCGTGCCACCTCACTTAAACGTGGATTTAGGAGGTGGGGTGTCACCGCTGGGTCAGTACTTACCAATGCAGGCTCAGCTGAATAGTTTCTCGGGAATGACCATGGAAGGGAATGCTCCGGTGCCACGCCCACCGCCACAGCCACAGCCTTCACAAGCAGGGGTCACCAATAACCCTCAATCTGCAGCTCCTACTGTGCAGCAGCCATTCAGATTCCCTTTTCCGTTCATTGACCCTCAAGCTTTTGTTAACATGAACGCAGCGATGGCCATGGGAATTCCGTACTCGGTGCTCCAGAATGGCTGCCAAACTAATTTGCAGTCTGGGATGACTCCTCAGTTACAAGCGAATAACAAGACCGCCGTACCGGGAAGACTGGAACACACGGGAGCAGGCGTGACCAAACCTGTGGAGGTGAAACCCGACATTGGACTTGAAAGAGGAGAACCTGTAAGCCATGGAAGTAAAACTCCATCTTTGAGAAGACCAGCTACTGGTGAGTCTAAGGGACGAACCACGACATTTTTGAGGGGGAGGGGGAGGGGGAGGGGTGGTCAATTTCCAAGGCAGCAATTGCTTTCTACTATCCAGGTGCTGTTTTTGATGTAAAAAAAAAAAAAAAATTATTGCCCACCAAAAAATTCATGCACAACTTAAAGGTGAAAAAAAATTTATGACCCAGAAAATTGCTCACGCCCCCGCCTCCTCCCCCTCCCCCTCCACTCAAAACAGTAATGCCGTCCTTAAGATTAACTCGATAGCAAGATGTCACCCTGGGTAAAACGTTATAATATAAAGAGCTCAGGAATTGCGCCGTTCTGTTATTGGTTGTTCAGCAACAAAACATATGCTATTTGTAACAAGCGGATTTGTGAATGTTCAGACTACTTTTTTCCTGATTGGAATCCACGTAAATTTCCTGAAAACGTTCATACTGCTCCTGCTTTTTTCAACGCTTCTTCGAGGACTTGCCAGAGACCGAGCTCACCCCGGAAACTGAATTAGTCACGGTTATAGCAATTACGATTAATTTGGTTGTATGAAAAGTTGCCCGGTCTGTGTCCCTTAGGGTCTAAGAGCCATCACTCTCATGGTGTAAATATATAATAAAATCGGAATTGCCGCGAGATGGTGTATTAGTCTACTGTCTCCAGATCAAATTGGAATTGGAAATATTGGATTTTGTGTCAGGAGGAAAACCTGAGAACACTGAGAAAAACCCTTTGAGCCAAGCTGAGAACCAATGACACAATTAACCCACATATGGCACTGTTGTTGGATTTAAACTCGGTCTACATTGGTGAAAGTTGAGCACTCCCACCACTGCCATCCCTGCTCCCCATGTCAGTAAAGATCTTGTTTTATACAGAACTCGATCATGAAATGATGTCAATTTATCACAAATAATTTGATTCAAGCAACAGTATTTAGGTTAATTTCTTTCTCTTGCAGTTCCAAAAGTCATTCAACACCAGGCTTCTAAGTCAAGTTAGCAGCTTGCATGTTCCTTAGCATTGCCGAGTTACGATGAGTGGACGGCGGAACTGACAGAGTCCTGTGACACAGCATGCCACAGGAAACCAATTAAACGTAACGATCGTGTTCTTTCCCTAGGTAATGACAGTTACGGCTGTGGTTCAAAATTGGTAAAGAAAACAAAGATTTGCGAAAAACATTTTGATTTTATATTAATACATTATTTATTTCTCGTTGATGTTCGATGACAATGATTTCCTTTCTTTTGGTGAAAAGAGACATTCTGTACAGAAGCAAAGTTATTTATGCAAGACATTTTTTTTGATATAAAGATTAATGTACAGTTAGATAGCAAATAAGATTTATTACATTTATAAGAGTTATGTTATAAGCAAGCGACGCAAATTAGTCTTCGACGGATATCAGCGATTTCCATTTGCTCGGTTTCGTGTAGTTCAGTTTTTTCTTTTTTTCTTTTTTTCTTTTTCCTTTTTGAGAGAAATTAGAGATTCGTTGAAGCCTCAGTTGTTTCGTCTCGTAAATTGTTAGGTTATCTAAAGATAAAAACTTTATAGCTGCTTTATATTAAGATGATACATGTCAACTGAGCCACTAGTCCTGTGTTAATAGTGAACGCCACTTGTAGAGACGCAGAGGAATTAATAAAAAAAGATTTTAATTTATCACCGAAATTAAATTTCTATTTTGCTTCTTGAAAACTTGAGTTGCTGGCACAATCGGCAGAGAAGTAACTTTTATGTTACTTGATACAGAGATTTTTTATTATCATCACAAACTTGGGAGATACAAGGCTGGTTATTGATGCGTTTTATCTGGCAAAAAGATTGCCCACGATGGATAGGACCCACCCGAATCTTGGGTAACCTTCCTATAGGACCTAGCCTCGCATGCGTGAACAGGGAACTGGAGGAGTTGAGGAGAAGAACGCGGAAAAAAGCCTCTGTGAGTAACAGCCATTCAGTATTTTGCGGTCGCAGAGTGGTCGCAGAAATGAAGGAAAAGGGGTTCTTGTAGCTAGCAGGTGTACCCCATGAATTACCCTCCCGCTCTCTCCCAGTCCCCCTTTTCTTCCACCCCGTTCTCCCACGCTCCCTAGGGGTGCCTACCATTTGTCAGAGTAAACCAAAGTCAGCAAACCAACCGAATGAGATGGCGCTTACCATTTACAATTCATTTCCCAAAATTGTTTTTGGCTGGTGAGAGACTGGGAACTGGAAAATTTAGTAAATGGTAAGAAAATTTCTGCCTTTCCGTTCCGAACGGAGAAAGAAGACTACCTCTGAAGGTAGTGTACAATCTCGGAATGGATTTTCCGGAAAATTACTGTTCCATTTGACTATCAACAGAAATTTACGGATTTTTTGGCTACATGGTAAGCACCCTCGTACTGAGACTACCCCAGCGAAGGCTGACGAGTTGACCACAATCCTGCTCTTGGGGAGTGGAATGAGTAAGTACTTTCCTCTCCAAGCGCGAGGTACTGGAATCGAAAATGACGATGTTTTGTAAACTGAAGATGTAAAGAAAATATGGCGGGTCTAGAAATGGATGCTGCTTGTATTACATACGAGGCAATTTCTTTTGAACAAGATGTATTTCCGAAAACCAAAGAGCCCGTGTGGATCCTTGGAAAGCAGTACATCACTGGCAGAGGTAAGGGCAATTTCATTCGCCAAAATGAGATACTGAAACATATGACGATACCAGAATTTCAGAGCACTGCAGCAGGAAAATTTTACTTGCTATGCATAATTCCTTTGTCTTTTGTCGATGTATCGAGGCAATGACTTTGTTATTAATTTTTATTTTGTTGCTAAAATGTTGGTGAATTCTTGTAAATGAAATATAAGGAAGTCTTTCTTTAGTGGACGGGATCAATAAATGTTGTTAAATATAGAAGCTTGCTATGAATCGAAAGTATAAGCTTATATTTCCGCCATGCAAAATAAGCGGCGAGATAAGCTTATATTATTGGGTTAACTAGAGTATGTTTTATGCCTGAAAAACCTGCTTGCCTTATGGCAGTCGTTGAGGGACGTTAATGAATAAAAAGTAATCATTTTCCAAGGGGCCGTTTCATGACTGAAGATCTGTTTGAAAGGAAGACGTTTTACCTACTGGAATAGCATCGAATTTCACACTTGGTCCCCAGGTACATGGTGTAGTGTTACCTGTACTGCCAGCCATCAGTGTGCGTGGGAGAATCAAACTTGTGACATCCAACGCTAGTATCATCATGTGCACCCCTTTCCATCATAAATTAGATTAGTAGACATGGACACTCATGAAGGGGACAGTTTACATACTGAAACAAATTTGGAAAATACCACATTGTCATAAGCTGTGTAGGTGGCAGTTTTGCTCTTACAAGAACAACAAGGAGGTATTTCAGAAAGAAATAGTCTCTCGTTTCCAGAATGAATACTATAGGGTGTTGGGAAATGTGGGGAAACGTTGATTTTATTATGTGCTACTCGAGAAGACTGGGCAATCATAACTTTATCATGTAGAACTCCTTTTTGACACCAGTTTGGTTTGCAAAATATATCGATAAATGAATGTTTTAAGCATTATTCCCTTTTTCAGAATGAGGTAACAGTTGAAATATTACACTAAGCCACATTTTGTTGTGATTTAGTGAATTCTGGTGGAAAATTGTCCCACCATTGTACATTACAACTAAACTGAGTGCAAAAAGGGATACCTTTGTATTTTTTCACTCTACCTTAAGGTTAGAATCAGTTTCCTTGTAAAAACTTTCAATAGATCCCTTTCAGTTAATTCCCAATCTGGAGGACAAAACAATCAGACTGTTCTGTATTTGAAAGGTTTGTTTCTGTCAGGGGAGAGAACAACCGTTGTTTTGTCCTCCAGATTAGGAATTACTGAAATGGGTCTATTTGTGATATATTTTAATTTAATTCCCTTTTGTCTTTGTGACAATCATTTTGCCAATATCTGAATAACCTGTTCACCAGTTTGTTTGTTTAGCTAGAACATGTTTACATAATGTATATTGCCAATTACAAACATTATTCTGATTGGATAATATCACCACTTTTGTATATACAGTCGAACCTCTCCACAACAGCCATCTTGGGAACAGAGGAAAGTGGCTGTTGTCGAGAGGTGGCCGTTATGGGAAGGTAGGGGTGTAATATGACACCTGTTTTTTGTTGGGATGTGCAACAGTTTGTTTCTTAAAAAAATGCTTATGTTAGCACTTAAACTGTTTGTAACACAATCAAAATATATCAATGAAACAGAAACTGAACAGAAACAGAGACCAACGACGGGCAGCACAGGTCAAGAAGATATTTTGGCAGTTGGGATGTGTTTTAGTGGCCATTGCCATTGTGAGAGGTGGCTGTTTTAGAGAGACTAAAATAAGAGTGAATGTATGGACTGTCCACTGGGACCAATGAATTTTGTTGTTGCTTATTTTAAAATTTTGTTGTTTAGTTTAAAATTAAAATGTGAGCAAGTGTTCTGTTACTTCTGGAAATCACCTGAAATTGATAGACAGACGGGTGTTATTTCCATCCCTGATTTGGTTGTTAGGGAGAATTCAACATTCATCACTTGGCATTTAGTGTTTTTCTTGTAAATGGTAAATGATTCCCTGTGTTAAATTTTAGGAGAGGATACAGTCAGTATTCTTAGGGATATCAGGTCTAGATTGTGGTGCACATACAGAAAAAATTTCCAAGCAATTGGTAAGTAATAATAAAAATTTTTTGTTATTGACGGACTGGTGTTCTTTTTGCAATGTATCCATGTAGAAAAATTCTTTGAGCAGTATCAACTATGTATCTAGATGGATACCTATTTAGCAGTAAGGAATTACATAATAAATTTATGGTAATTTAATTGTGTTAAAGCTAGACATCCATTGAGAACATCTGGGTATTTAAGTGTAGAAATAAAATAAAACAACATTTATGACAGACTAGTTAATATGGGATTTGAGTTATTCCGCAATATTGTAACACTTGTTTTCTTAAAGGCGGCACAGGACCCACGGCTGATAATGGATGGGGTTGCATGCTGCGATGTGGACAGATGATATTTGCACAAGCTTTGGTTTGTAGGCATCTTGGAAGAGGTTAGTTGTTATTCACCCCATGACAGTCTTTCACTATGAATATAATTAGATGTCAGTTTGTGTATTTAATATAACATTTATTAATTTTTTTTTTTACAGATTGGCAATGGGATCCTGATACAACAAACCCTGTCTACATGCAGGTTTGGTGATGTTTTCTAGTTTGTGTTGGTTGTTCTCAGTAGAATGTAAAAGTGAATCCAGGATTAACATTTGTGATCATTTGTGGAATGCTAAGTGTTAACTTACTTTGCATGAATTTCAGATTTTGCAGAACTTCCTGGACAAGAAGGACAGTTTATATTCTATCCATCAGATAGGTGAATAAAGTAAAATAAGATCATTTTGTGCATGATTTGAGCTTGTAACAGCAAATAGAATTTTATGTTTATTTATTTATATGGTAAGGAGTGTATAATAATACCATCTACAGTGAAACCTGTTAATCTGGTCACCAATGGGCCACGAAAATTTGGTGGTATTAACAGGGTGGCCATATTAAAGGGTTTCTTTAAATAAGAAAATGACTGACTGAGCTTTTGTTCAGGCCAGAATAAACTTGGCTGTATTAATGAGGTGGCAGTGTTAATGGGGTGGCCGAGAGGCAGGGCTCCACTTCATACTAAAAGTATTCTCTCATTTGTGATAAGTAAGTCCAGAGTAAGATGTGTGACAGAAACTTGACCCATATAATTTTGCATAATTTTGCTAAGTGGTAGCAGTGATGGTCATAGTAGGCATGACAGCCTAACAGTGAGTGCACTGAACTCTGATATAGCATTCCTGGTTTGAGCCCTAGGAAGGCTCACTGTGTTGTGTTGTTTGGCACGATGCAACACTCCTCACCCACTAGTATAAATGTACTGGTGGACTGTTAGGACAATTTAAAAGCTGCAATGGACTAGCACCCTGTTTAGTAATATTACTCCAAGTCACTTCATGTTACAGAATCTCTATTAAGGCTTAAGTTCCCATGTCATGGGCCACTTTTGCCTGTGAACAAACTTTACCTTACTTTTAGTGAATGTAACCTTCTGTTATGACTTTAGCTCAGATGGGTGTATCTGAAGGCAAACCAGTTGGGAGTTGGTTTGGTCCAAACACCATTGCACAAGTACTCAAGTAAGGTTTTACATCTGCCTTAACTAATTTTAATCTAATTAGCGCCTGCTGTTTATAGATGTTTTTTTTCTTTCTTTCTTTCTTTTTTTTTTTTGCAAAAATACACAGTTGCAATAATGGACACTGGTATTTGTATATATTGTGGATCAAAATCTTTACCTTCAAAAGGTTTTTGGAGTGTTTCAATCTCGTTCCCAGAGTCTTTGTTCCCCTTGACCAGTGGTTGGAAAATGAGAGCTCTGGGAGCAACCATTTTAGACATGCGCCATAGATGCAGACGACGCAGTGAAACTGGATGGGCAGAATTTGGTTGTTTCAAAATGGTTGCTCCCAGAGCTCTCATTTTCTGACCGCTGATCAAGGGGAATGAAGACTCTGGAAACGGGCTTAAACTAAAGGTAAAGACAAAGTGTCGCTTGTGAAAATTAAGTCACTTTTTTTAGTTTGATAATACATAAAAGAATCAATCTTCGTACAGTAGAAGCTTTAAGTGTTCATTTGAGGGTAATCTGTTTTAATTTTTCTTTTCCTTTACTCTATTTTTCATGTTCAACCCAGGAGTTAGGGCAGTTAATTGCATAGTATGACCCTAATTAAGGTGGGGCATTTGAACAGCATTTTTGCCCAAGAGATGGGAATTTGACCAACTAAAAATTCAAGACATCTAATTCCTGGGGGTTGCCCAGGGGGGATGTTGAAGTTTTGAATTGACTGATACATTAACTGCTCTTATTGCCGACTGCTGCTTAAAATTAAGTGTGAATGAAAAGTTTTTTTTGTTTTGTTGTTTGTCTACAGAAAACTAACATCTTTTGATGACTGGAGTTCGTTGTGTGTACATATTGCCATGGACAACACAGTCATAATTAATGATATCAGTAAGTTATGATTTTAAATAAACAATAGCCTCCACTTGGCCCAAAAATGTGCTTGGATATACATGTATGTCTGTGCACATTATCTATTCCGAGAAGCAAGTTTTGAGAGAGTGAAATGCAAGGAAAACTGTGAGCTTTCAGAAACAGAGAATGTCCAAGGACAAATATCTGAGCATATTTTAGCACCAAATGGAGGCTAAATATTGTGTTTATTCTCCTTCAATTTTTTTTTGCAACACATACAGTTTTCAAAATTGGGTAATTACTAATATCACGCAGATATTCCCCAGTCTTAGCTGAGTAAATATGGTAGTCGTGTGTCGCGTTTAGACCAATTGCACAAGTGAAAATATTTGATGGATCATAAGCCAGTGCGAGAAACAGAAATCTATCTCCATCACTCAGCTAATATTTTAGACATTTTGTTCTTCCATGCTTAACAAAAAGACATTTTTATTAATATTGTACAAACTACAAATCAAACGTCTTGAAGGATTTTCTAGAAACACTTGTTTTGTCTTTAGAAACACTTTGCAAAAGAGATTCGCCTGTAAAGACTCATGGGGAGGCAACTTGTTACAGTCGCACATCAACAGGCAGTGAAAGACGCAGAGGAAAAACTGGACTAGACATAAGAGATGATGTGAAACACAAAAAACAAGCATGGAGACCTCTCCTACTCTTTATACCACTTAGATTAGGACTGTCAGAAATGAACTCTGTGTATAATGAACCATTCAAGGTAAGTACAGAGTGTCTACTCTGAGCAGCTCTGCCAATTCCAGGCCAAAATACCACTGTGTTTGATGTGTGGGGAGGAGGATAGTTTAACTTTATTTTCAGGCCTATGTGGCTTACTAGGCTCACTGGTTTTTGAGGCATTCATTGAGTTAGAGTACAGTGGAACCATCAACCCCTCTTTACAGTCACCACGTTAATGGGACAACCTTGTTTTGTCCCCATACATTTTCTTATAAGAAAACGCCCTTAGAGAATGAATGATAATCCGGGAATGTTCATTGTGTCGAAATCTAGAGAACAAGTGGTAAAGCTTAGAGCTATATAATAAATATTTCGATATTTCGATATACCATCATCAGACTAGAATATGCATGCACCCTTAATACGGCCAACCCAGCATTAATACAGCCAACGGTCACATTGTGAAATCTTAACACGTATATTATTTCATAAATTCACTGGTTAATACGGCCAGTCAAACCAAATGAGCTTTGTGCAGTACAGACAACTGACCAAAAATAATGGCCAAGTCACACTAGAGGAAAAAACTGTTAAGTTTTCTTGAATAGAAATAATAAAACTATTGTTGTCCGATGTTTCGATGTTGTTATTCAAGATCTCAAGCCAACTCTGAACGTGTTGTTAGTGGCTAAGGAGAACTTTAAAAAGGAAAAAAAAGGAAAAAAACTTTAAACTTTTTTATTATGGAAGGCAAATGAGCTCTCAAAGTGATTTGCCTAACGCAAAAGGATTGACTGCAAAACAAGACAATTCAATAGAAAATCAAAGACTTTGAATTTCAAAATCCAAATCTTTGTAATGTGTGTTGGATGTGTACTGTGTAGCGCTGTGTTCCTGTTTGTAAAATTCTCGTTTATCCTTCTAGGCCTTCCAGACACTGTACCATGTCAGTTCAGTTATAGTCATATTGAAAAATTGAAGTTGCTTAAGAATATCTTTCTCCTTTTTGCTCTTTTTTAAACAGGCCTGTTTCACATTTAGACAATCTGTAGGAGTTATTGGTGGAAAACCCAATCATGCATATTACTTTATAGGATTTTACGGTAAATGTAAATATGATTTCTTATAGTGGAATGAAGCATGTCTTGACGAGAGTTTCATCAGTGCTCTATTATTACCAACTTAAGCTGCATTTTGTCCAAAAAGGCAAGTCTGAACACAGGGTTAGAGCATGCCACTTAAGCTCATTCGCGACCATAGGCAAAGTACTAGATACGGCGCAAAATTGTGTGCAACAAATTGGCAGCCTATATCCATCGCTGATTCAACTCCACAAAAGGCTCAATTTCGGAATTGCTACATATATTCAGTATCGGAGTGAAGTGCAATCAGTGCGATGAAACGGGCAGTCCGCTCTTCGTGCACTGTGTGATGTGGGGTAGGACTGACATGGGCGCTCTTTCCGCACTTCCGGTCCGTTTAGAATTTGCGCGCATCCTGGTAAACCTTACCACAAGTGCAAGAGAATGGAAGCTTTTTCATTCCTTGGGCTTACGTTTGCTCGTGTTTGCGTTCGCGTTACGGTGGGCCACACACACTTGTGTTTGAGTTTGCATTTGTGTCACACATGTAGACAAGGCAAAAGGTCCCTTTTAATTTAAAGGGTCATGATTACAGCAACTTCCCGGCATTTTCGGTCAAAACAGTGCTAAAATTTTGACTGAAGCGAATACCTTCGTGAAATAGTCCCAAGACACCAAGGTAAAGATATGAAAAGAATTGTTGAAGGAAGAGTAAATTGTAATTTATGTTGGCGATTTTCCTAAGACAAGACGACAGAATTTGAAAATGTTTGCGAGACTTTGTAGTTTTTCCCAGAATGTTATCATTTCCTGGATATGTGTCTGCGATGTAACTTGGCAAAAACTCGTAGACCTGTTATTTTCTTTCTATCGTATTACATTTTATAGTTGCTTATTTGTTGATGGACAACTCGCTCAGTTGGTTTTCTCTCTGTTAATCATTTTTGGAGGCGTCATTTGAGTTTATTGAAGACGCCTGCTATTTCACTTTTCATTCAGTGTCGATGATCGCTCTAAATAACGTCCCTGTATTGTTGTTTTTTTTGTTTCTGAATTAAGGTAATAATCTGTTGTATCTGGACCCTCATACAACACAGCAGGCTGTGAACCCAGAAAGAATGAGTCTTATTCCAGATGAGGTAAGGTCTCAAGACAATTAAAACTGTAATAAGTCTCTATTTTGTGTGAAAACAATTGCAACAACAGTGCGTAAGGACACGAGTAGAGTAAGACTGACAGCGTCCACACTATGCCGGAGGAATTTGAAAACGCAGCTTACAGGGTTCGTAAAGGTCCTGGAAAACCTGCAAAGTCCTGGAATTTCATTGTGGCATTTTCCTGGACTGGAAAGTCCTGGAAAAGGGCTACTGGTTCTGGAAAGTTCTGGAAATGTGTTCAACTCGAGTGAAAAAATGTGAAATGTATGGCAGACAGTAAGGAGAATTATCATTAAGATATTGGGAGTGGAAGGGTTAATGTGAATTTTAGAGTCCTGGAAAAGTCCTGGAAAAGTCCTGGAAATTTGTTTCTGAAAAAGGGCACGAACCCTAGCTTAATTTCTACGGATAGGCCTACCGTCCACACTTACCCATCAAGAAAACGGAGCTTTTCGAAAACGCTCTTCAAACCGGAGGAATCTGAAAACGCCGGCTTTTCGTTTTCGTGTGGACGGAAAACATTTTGAAAACAGAGCTTTTCGAAATCGATGGCGTCACGATAATCACGTGATTTCCCTGACCGAGTTTTCCTCAAACACAAATTTAAAATGACCGGTGACTGCTGCGGTTAGAAATTCCTTCGGCATAGTGTAATCTCTCTCATTCCAAGAGGCCGCCATCCTCTGGTCAACGTTGAGCAAGGATGCGTGAATGAGATTATAAAACAATTTCTTTTAGTATTTAGAATTCTTTGTTTTGTGTTTCTTAGAGTTATCACTGTGTTTATCCAAGCCGGATGAACATTTCAGATCTGGATCCATCAATAGCTTTGGTAAGGAGAGCTCTGTTTTGATTCCGTAACAAGACATCCTGTGTTTAAGCATAACAGATAGCAATTCTTGAAGTTAATCAGCTGTCTGCTCGTGCCAAATGCGTTACACTTTAGTTCCAGATACAGCTCATCTGAGATTACAATTAATCAATGGACTCCGAAGTTTTTTTACAGATTAATTCAGGTCAAGATTTTATGTTTCTATTGTGACTTTGACCGATTTTGAAATGACATTTTAAACATCGTGTAGAAGAACGTCCTTACTTACGGTCGAGAATTCAAAACACGATAAGTGTTTAATCCGGTTAAAGCTAATCCAGGCCCCAGGTCGAGCGATTTAGCCCGGTCGTGTGTGCTTTCGAGAAAGACAATTTACATCCACCCGTAAACTTCTTTAAGCTCGTATTATTTCGTTTCCTCTCTTTGTTCACGCAATGTTCTTAAGTTTCAGACCGCCCCTCAATGTTTCTGTGACCCACGCATCCGCAATGGTTGAACAAGCGATGAATGAAAAGCTAAACACAGCTCTTGTGAACTCAACTGAAGATTTGACCTGCCTTCTCAATTCACACGATATCTTGGCGGGTAAACCTCCCTTGCCGGGTGCACGAAATCACATGACCTTTTTTTCGATGCTTGAATTTCATTTGCGTCTGAGCTCTGCTTCCAAGCTGTGCTGTTCTTTTTTCAAGAGTTTGCAAAATCAAATTTTGTCTTTTCTTTTTCAATTTCCACGCGAGAGAGTTTAAAAAATTAAAAATCGCGAGCATCGTTTGTAAATTTACAAACTGAGTCCTCATGAACCACGCGTCGCAAGTTGTGACAGGTGTAAAATTGTAACAAAAACCGATCCGCTCTAGCTGTGTTGAGTGTCATGCCATTAATGTTTGTTTTTATTGTAGGGATTTTTCTGTAAATCTGAAGAGGAGTTTGATGACCTTTGTACACAGATTCGCCAAGTACGGCTTAGCTAATAATGTAATAACTCTGATCATGATGAAAGCATTGTTCTTAAGTCAAAGAGGATTACAAATGATTGTGTTCTTTAAGAAACGTTAGAATTTAACGGCTAAACGGAAACCGCGGGGAAACATGGATGCTTAAGAAATACAAACATTAAATTTAAAGCGGATTTGGAAAGCTCAGCCATTTTCCTCAGTGGAACTGTAATAAGATAAAGATAATTGGCGAACTTAGTGGTTTTATTTTCTTTGTAGCATACGGTAAACTGCCGCTTATAAGCCCTCCCGCGTATAACCCC